CACATAAATTAAAAAAAAATTTAAAAAAAAGTGAATGCAATCTGTTTATCAATAAAACTTTGAAAAATAAAAAAGAAAAAAAAGAAAAAAAAGTGAATGCAACACTCTAAATTAAAAAGTATGCAAAAAGTAGTTGATGAATAAACAGATGTTTGAGTGTATTTGTGTAAATAAGAATCAACTGGTTAAGTGATACCTGCCCAAGTCAGTATGTAAACAAATCCAATGCCCAAGCAACGCTTGGGGTAAACTGTTAAGTGGCTAAAACCCCTTCCCTAGGGAGCCGGGGAGATGGCTTAGTAGAATAAGCCCTTACCTGGCAAGCACAAGGGCCTGAGTTCAATCCCCAGCAACAAAAAGAGTAACAGTAGACCAGGTATGGGCCTGTGCCTGGTACTCAGGTTTGTTAAAAACTTGGGCTGGAGAGATAGCTCAGTGGAACAAATGCTTGCCTGGCAAGCACAAGGTCCTAAGTTCAATCCCTGGAACAAACAAACAAACCTGTTCTCACCCTTGTGTATTGCCTTCCTTCTTCCTATCCTAGAAGGATGCCACCCATCACCAGGGAGTGAACTCCTGGCCTTTGTACTAAGCTAGATCCTCCGGTTTTTTTTTTTTTTTTTTTTTTTGAGACAGGATCTCCCTATGTAGTGCAGGCTGGTCTTGAACTCAAACTTGCTTCAGTCTTCCTGTCTCAGCCTCCTAAATGCTGAGATTATATTCATGAGCCACCACACCCAACCCCTAGTTCATTTTTTGAGACTAACTCACTAAGTATACCAGTCTGGTCTTGAACTTGCAGTCTTCTTGCTTCATTGTCTTGGATTGCTGGGCATACAGGCCTGTGCCATCAGGGCTGGCTTAGAGTCCGCTTACAGCGAATATGATGCGGGCCATCATAGGGGAAAAAATTATTTTTAATTTTGTTTGTTTTTGAGACAGGGTCTTGCTATGTTTAGACTGGCCTTGAACTCACTATGTAGCGCAGACTGGCCTCTTCCCTCTCCCTCCCGAGTGCCAAAATTATCGGCATGCACCACCACACATGGCAGGAAGGCCTTTTAGTTGAAGTGGTATGGGTAATAATTGGGAAAAGAATATTTTTCAGGTGGTGCAAATTTGCTATGGTAACTTGTGATGCAGGATTCCTCTGAGCATATGTGTGATTCAGGGCACTTGGAAGAATGACCACTCTCCCCAGAGAGAACAGAGCCCTAGCTGCACGCTCCCCGAATGAGGAGACTGAGTTCTCAGATCAACAGGCCTGGATCCTTAAACATGCCCAATTTATTTATTTATTTATTTATTTAT